GAGACATCCAGCCTCATTAACTAAACAACTACTGGATTCTTGGACTTTCAATTGGGAAACAGTCATTGTTGGACTAGCTGAACCACAGATTATATATGCCACTTTAATAAATCTCCGTGTGTGTGTGTGTGTGTGTGTGTGTGTGTGTGTGTGTGTGTGTGCGCGCACGGGGGCGCATATATTATTCAGGGTTCTCTAGAGGAACGTAACTGATAAAATGTATACAGGGTGCCACCAGAAGATGTGGCCCACATATAAGGTGGGTCTCCCCACCTCCCAAAATCTAGATTTGGGGTGGTTCTCTCCACTTCAAATAATTCCGTCAAGGAAAATCTTTACAGGTGTACCAGCTTGCTTGGGTTTTAGTTAATTCCGGATGTAGTCAAGTTGACTACTATATATAACAGGGATTTACTAGCACGGCTTACTTACAGACTGTGGTTGAGCTAATTCAACAACCAACAGAAAATCTAAGAATCCAGTAGTTATTTAGTCTAAAAGCTGGGTATCTCAGCTGGTCTTCAGTATACACTGGAATCTAGAAGTAGGAGGCTCTAATGCCAGTGAAGAAATGGACTTACCAGCCAGAGGGCAAGCAGGCAAAGAGCAGAAAGCTCTTTTTCCATGTCCTTTGTATAGGGTGCCATCAAAAGGTGTGACCCGGATTAAAGGTGAGTCTTGCCATCTCAACTGATTTAATTAAGAAAAGCCCCCTTGGGGCTGGAGAGATGGCTCAGCAGTTAAGAGCACTGGCTACTTTTCCAGAGGACCCCTGTTCAATTCCCAGCACCTACATGGCAGCTCATAACTGCCTTTAACTCCAGTTGCAGGGGATCTGACACCCTCACAGACATGCAGGCAGGACACCAATATACACATAATAAGAAATAAGTTATTAAAAAAAAAATAAAAATCCCACTAAAAAAAGCCCCTTGTTAGGTGTACAACTTGGATTTTAATTAATTTCAGATATGGTCAAGCATTCTTGACCCTTTCCAGAACCCTGACCAATCCAGATAGCTTAGTGGTTAAAAGCACCGGCTGCTCTTCCAGGGGACCGAGGTTTGATTGCCAGCAGCCCCTTAGTGGCTCTAGCTCCAGGGGATGTGAGGCCCTCCCCTGTCTCAGCAGTCACAAGGCACATGTATATGATGCACAGATACACATGAAAGTGCAACGCCTATGCAAACAAACAAACAAACAAACAAACAACCCATGAAAGACTGTGCTTAACCATGAAATGGTTGGTGTGTGCTAAAGGAATTGAATGAGTTCTGTGACTGGACATTCCAGTAGGCAAGAACAATGAGAAAGATGAGTCTGGAGGAACCTGTCGGAAAGCAGGGCACCAACCTTTATTTGAAGAGCCACCAAGGAAAAGCGAAAGGGTTTTGAGTCACTTAAGATATTTGCTCATCCACTTCCTCTTTTCCTTTCGCTGTCCCTTGTCCCATCAGTGGAATTTGTGTGGAGTGAAGCTGGAATCTGCCTAAATAATTTCACATATCTAATCCTTTTGTCTGTTCTATTCAGCATCAGGTCAATTATATACTTATTTATGTGTCTGTGTATGTGAGTGAATGGGCTGTGTGTGTGTGTGTGTGTGTGTATGTGTGTGTGTGTGTGTGTGTTCCAAAGAGGTCAGAAAAGGTGTCAGCTCTCTTGGAGCTGAAGTTACAGGTAGCTGTGTTTGACTTGCATGTGGGGAACTGAACTCAGGTCCTGCTGAGGCTCTTTTAACCTTTGAGCTAGTCCCTGGTGGAACATCTAGGGACATGGCTCCCATGCCTGTGGTTTGTACTGGGACCACCTGGTGCCTATAAACTGCTTCAGCCATGTTCATTGGTTAGGGACAGGCTGACAATACACAAAGAAAACAACTGGGAGAATGATGGTTGGTGACAGGGCAACCTGAGTCTGGGTTAATCTGTACCTGAAACCAGGCCACTCCTAACATGTTCAGTTGAGAGAGAAGATTCCTTTGTACTGTGATAGAAACCCCTGAGGTTCTGGCTTTATAATTTCCAGCATTATTGCTCCAACCTAGTGTACGGGGGGTGCCATGAAGAAGCCCAACAGCATTCTGGGAGACATGACCCAGGCTGCATGGCAGCTGGGGTAGAAAGAAGTGACAGACTTAAGATGCAGGATGACAGAAGATGTGGGGTGAGAGAGCTAAAGAAGAGTTAAAGATGGGGTTCCATTTTTTCTGGCCTGAGCTCCTGGTGCCATTCACTGAGTGGCAGAGACCAGACAGGGAAGGGAAACAGTCACACAAATGACAATTGAGGGATGGTGGTTACAGATATGAAGTCCAACGGAAAGCCCTAGGCTGGAGGTGGGGTTGAGAGTCACTAATGCAAAGAGCAAGTGAATTTAGTTAGGCAAAAGAAATGAAAGGAACACAGTGTGGATCAAAATACTAATAGTCAAGGAACAGGAGTGCTGAGAACAGCCAGGCAAGCATTAACAACCTGATACCATGTGTGGTACATAGTGTCATAGGAGCAAGGGGTGAGGGTCCCTAGTGATAAATGCCGAGGTAAAGGCAGAGGGTGCTGGGAGTCGTCCCCATTCTATTTATTATTATCGGCATATATACATATACTTTTAAGACAAGCTCTCACCTTCAGCTCAGTGTCAATGTTAGTTAAAATGTTCAGGGCCAGGTCCTTTGAACAGAGGCGACATTGTCTTAGGTAAGTTACTATAACTGTGATAAAATACCATGACCAAAAAGCATGTAAGGGAGGAAAGTGTTTATCTGGCTTACACTTCCACACTGTAGTACATCACTGAGGGAAGTCAGGACAGGAACAGGGCAGGAACCTGAAGGCAGGAGTTGATGCAGAGGCAATGAAGGGTGCTGCTTACTGGCTTGCTCAGCCTGCTTTCTAATTGAACCCAGGACCACCAGGCCAGGGATGACACCACCCACAATCGGCTGGGTCCTGCCCCATCATCACTAATTAAGAAAATGTTCCACAGGCTTGTTCACAGTCCAGTCAATGGTCCCTCCTCTCAGGTGACACAAAACTAGCCAGCACAGGCCCTATGAGTCTGCTCTGGCGAACCAGGCAGCTGCTAAGCCCTAAGCTGATCCCATTGTTCTGACTGCAGAACCTCTGTTAATCTCCTCCTACAGCTGACTGATGCTCCACTTGCCTGGAACAACTCTGAGGTCCTACTAGCCAAAGGTGAGGAAGGGAGGAAAGGAGGAAGGCGAAACCAAGAAAGAAGGAGGCGGAATTTTGCCCCCAGGAGGAAGCGATAACAAGAGCAGAAGAAAGACTACCGCAGAAGAAACGTCAGCAGAAAATAAAGTTACAAGACAGCAGATAGAACTAGGTCTCTGATGGTTTGAGAAAAAATATGGTCGGAACACAGGTCGTGAGAAGAGCACGGAATGAATTCCACAGGCTCAAGGCTGGGAGAAAAACCTCCCCAACTTCTCAGCAAGGTTGATGGGCAAGTTTTCTGAAGGGTTTGAATGCCATGTACCAGCTGTCTCCTGTACCACCGAGCTACATTCCTGGCTGTGAGCCTCCTTTTGAGAGCTGGACCTGTTGGACCCACCGAATTTTAACCAGCAACCTTCCCTACTCCTTTGCTACCTGCAACTTTTGGGGACCGGACAGTTTCAGAGGTGACCTTTGTTACTGTGGGGATGAAGAAAGGACGGGTGAATGCTGGGTCAGGTATATCGCAAGCAGTCTCTATCTGTCCTTTTGTTTTTCCCACAGGCAGGTCACTTGGTTGTGATGCTGGTAGTGGGCTGTGATGTGGGAAGAGAAGGGAGTGGATCTTTTTTCTTTCTTATCACAGCAATCTCTGCTGTGGTAACGGGCAGAGGAAACTCACTGGGAGATCCCAGTGGTGTCTAGCAAAGGTTAAGGATGTGAACGCGTGGCTGTCAGTGCATGCCTGCCTGTGCTCAGCAGCCCAGGTTCAGGCAGAGAACTTTGACCCCAGGGTGGAGTTCTTATTTTTGGCCATCTGGGCAAGTTCAAACAACATGGCCATAAGTCAAGAAGGTAGGAGAGGAGATGCACGAAGTCAGGAGACGTAGTGGGGACCACACTGAGTGTCTTGTGAACTAAAGCCAGGGTGATCAAGCTGTAATCTGTCATCTCGGATGGGGCCAGAACCTGAGATTATTCAGTAGGTCTCAGGGGCAGGACCAGAATTTGTTTTTAAAAAGATTCTTAGTTGATGCTGCTATAAGAGGGCTATGGGCCATTTTCTGGGAAACATTGGGTTTGCAATTGTAGTAAATTTAAGAGGGACGAGAGAGAGAGAGAACACAGCCCTAAAAGCATGAGCTGGAGGGTGGGGAGCATCCATGAAACCAGGAGCAAGGGAATGGGTGGTTATAGAGTGAGAGGAGGAGCTGACTAGCTCAAAGGTGAAACAGCCTTGAGTGAGGACAGCTTCAAGGTGTGGCCAAGGGAGTGGGTGGCTCAGGTGGAGTAGAGGTGAACATCAGCAGAGGCAACAAGGTCAAAGGATGGAAAGCCCAGGCTGCCACGTGGACCTTGAAGCCCACTCCCAGTCATGGCAGCCCTTGGAACAGAAAAGCAAAGTTCAGTGTCCCTGGAGGGGAGCTGACTGGTTCTTAGCACTGCGGAGAAGTGAAACTGGCCAGCATCGGTGTCTGCAGTCTGTCAGGCTTTATCCTGAAGGAGACCAGAATCCTCACAGACAAGCCTCACATGAAGTATGTGTTGTTGTTGTTGTTTTTTTATTTCACTTATTGAGAGCCTCATGTAGCCCAGAATGACCTCCAGCTCACTGTGGATGACTGTGAACTCCAGCCTCCACCTTTAAGAGCTGGGGTCGCAGGCATAGGCCACACCGGGTGCCGTAAATGTGATTTCTGTTTCCACTTATGAGAAAGTTCAACACGGAGAAGTCGATTCTCCCAAAATTACAGTGGAAGGTGCCTTAATATATGCCAAGTGAGTAAAACCAGAACCTACTGAATAGTCTTAGGAAGGGGGTTAACTGTGGAAAGACAGTGGAAATGTTTATTTAAATGTTAAACCGTTTCCTTTTAGTGCCCACCAGGTGGCAGCAGCGAGTAGCGAGCCCTTGGCAAGGCGGTGGGGCTCTCACACCTGCACGCATCAGGACTTGCCGCTGCCCCATGCCGCGAAGATTTCTTCGGCAGCATCCAGTGTGCTGTCTTTCTGGAATTGATAAAAGAACTGTGTCATTACAGGCCACTCTAAATACACGCAATATTTAAACACACAAGACATAGCCAGGTGGTAGTGGCGCAAGCTAGCCTCGTCTACAGGAATGAATTCCTGGACAGCCAAGACTACACACAGAAACCCTGTCTCAACAAACAAATGGAAACAAAACAAAGAACCCACAGAAGATATAAACCATTCTAGCGATACCCAAAGAGTGAACACCTAGTCTTAGGTGAAGAAAAAAATGTCAAAAAAGACACAAATACAAAACCAAAAAGCGAGGGATGGGATAAGTCAAGAGTGTGCACTGTTTTGGTAGAGGTTCCCAGAACCCTGGGTGGAGGCCCACAAAACTGCCTAAAACTTCAGCTCCAGGGAATCTGATGACCTCTTCTGTCCTACCTGAGTACACACATACACACGTTTAAAACTGAAAACAAAAACTAAAAAACTCAAAGCAGCTATTCAATTAATGATAATTAGAGGAAGACATCAATGAGTCCAGAGGTGACTACATAGAAAAATAACGGCCAAGTTCTCCCTACTTCTCCCTATCAATCCTTCCATTCTCTAAGACAACCTCTCCTGCCAGTTTTTAGGTTTAGTTCTAATGTCTGTCATTAAAATCCAATCATACGCTCAGGTTTCTATTTCCTTATCTGTGAACACCGTATTCACTGTACCTGGCCTTCAACAAGGAAAATGGTTCTTTCTAAATAATACTCTGGGAAAAACCACTATGATTATTGAAAGTCAACCTCTTAGCTTTTGAATGAGCAATGCCTGTTTATGACATAAAATTAAACAGAAGAGCAAATGGTGAAGATCTAGGCTTGTGTTTTCCTCCCTCTCTCTCCCTGTCTCCTTCCCTCTGCCCTTCCTTCCAAATGGTTGGTCGGGAAAGCCAGCTGTGGCAGCTGAGGGCAGAGGGTATCCGTGTGTGGAGGCTGGAAGCCCGCGCAGCCTAGATAGGATGGGCTAGCCAGGGCAGCCACTGCCATGGTGGAGGTGCTGTCGGCGGCAGGGCGGTGCTCACCTGAGCGGGGCTCACAGTCCAACTACATAGGATGGGATAGGGCAGGCCTATGCCATGAGGTGCCAGAGCCCCAGAGTGAGATCAAGAGAATGCCTAGTGTGGGGCATAGATCGAAAGGAAAGCACCTCTGGGGGAGAAGGGCAGAACATTCTTCCCTCAACAATGATCATCTGGGGACAGTGGCAGCAGCTGGGCTCAAAATGTCAACCAACCGAAGACGAAAATATGTGAGAGAAGAAATTATATCTGTACTGCGCATGCCCATATTTTTTCTTGTTATGATTCACAAACAATACACTATAATGTCTATTTTCATGGCATTACATTGTATTATAGTATAAATAACCTGTAGGTGATATAAAGTATACAGAAGGATGTGCATTCCTTATAGACAAACAGTATGCCATTTATGTAAGGCACGGATATCTTGGAGTTTGGTAAGTACAGATTTGTGGGGGTTTGCAACTTCACCCTTTGACACAGAAGTATGACTGACATATGTACAAATGCCTAAGAGCAGCCACACACAGCAACAGCAAACATTCTCAGTATTTCAATCTTGGTTTAAAGGTGCAACTCTGCTCTAGGGCTGGAGGGCTGGCCCAGCAATTAAGAGCACTTGTTCTCAATGAGGACCTGGGCTGGGTCCCCAGCTCCTACATCATGTCTCACAACCATTTGTAACTCTACTTTCGGGAGCTCTGACCTCTTGATTCTGGCCTAAATGTCTCTGCTTGTTTGTTCTGAGAACTTTATGGGAACAACTGGTGAGACTTGGATAGGAGCTGAGGAGTAGATCAAATGATGATTTCTCAGCGTTAACTTCTGGTGCTGAGGGCAGTGTACCATGGCTTTGGAGGATGTCCTCGTTGGTAGGGAACATACAAGAAAATATTTGGGGATGATAGGTTATCATTAGAGGGTAAGTAGATACTTTACTCTGATGATGGCCTCTTATAAATTATAAAAACATGCCAATTACACTTCAAATACTTAATCTTTCTTTGGGGGAGGGGTCTCTCTACATAGTCCTGGCTGTCCTGGAACTCTTATCTGTAGACCCAGCTAGCCTCAAACTCAGAGATATGCCTGCCTCTGCCTCCTGAGTGCTGCCTTTAAAGGAGTGTGCCACCATGGACGAGCTTAAATCTTTTGTGTGTACACATATGTGTACGATGTGTGTGCCTTGTGTGCGGTGTGTGAGGAAGTCAGAGGACAACCTTGGGTATTGGTTTTTACCTTCCACTTTGAGTTCACACACCTTCTCGGGGTGCCCTCACCCCTGAGCCATCTCCCTAGCCCTTCAACGTTGTTCGTAAGTGAGCCACCCTCCCCTAGGCCTTCTCCACTCTATTTTTTTGCCCAGAAGCAGCCTGGGATCTTACTTACTCTAGGTCCTTCATGAGCCCTTTCAAGCATTTAGCTAATGGAAGCATTTCTGAAAACAAAGCTGTACAGTTATTTGGAGCTCTATTTGTCCTATTTTTATCTTTTTTTCAGAGACTGTACATACTTCATTTTTATTACACTTCCATTATCTTCTCTCTAGTGTTTCCACATTCTTTTGCTTACTTTCCTCCACCCTGATTTGCTTAGAGAAAAATAGCTAGAGTCCTTCAGAGTTTTCAATGTTATTATAATTCCCAATACCTTTATTTTCCCCTTAAATTTCCTACCTGCTGTCCAATAGATCTCAATTCATCTTCTTGCATCGCCACACCCTCACTTTCCTAAATTCTAAAATATATCCACCTCCACCTACTGTCTTCAGCATTAGAACTTCAAATGTTACAGTTTTTAACTGTTCCATGGCTCTGTTCATTTTTCCAGTGAATAATTTGAAGGTTGTTATGTTCATCCTTTCCTTCTCCATATGACATCCGTTGAGGATGTACATCTTGCCCCTTTACGGTCATGAACGATTTCTGACTGAAAGCCCCCTGTAAGTCCTCACACTGCTCCGTCTGCACACTGCTCCTGTTGATCTCAGGGGTCAGTGTGCTACTCTACGATCTGAAGATGGATTTAGGATTTTAAAGTTTTTATTTGTTTTTTATGTCATGTGCATTGCTGCTTTCCCTCCATGTATGTCTGTGTGAGGGTACTGGATCCTCTGGAGAATCTGCCATATGGTTGCTGGGAATTGAACCTGGGTCCTCTGGAAGAGCAGCCAGTGCTCTTAACTGCTGAACCATCTCTCCAGCCCCATGGATTTGCAGATGCTTATCAAGGAAGAACTGGGCAGTGCTTGAAAACAGCAGAAATTGTGTCTTGTTCATCAAAAAGTTTAACACACCTTCAATGTAGGAGTCGGCCAACTGGGAACTAATTACACGACCTAACTGCAGACCTATCCTCCGTACAGCCTCAAACTAGCTTTTAGCCACGTTGACAGATGGACGAGGAAATCCAAGGCCCAGGCCTACTTCCCACCCCGTTTACAGTGTTTTTGGGCCTGTACAGCTGTGCCCGTTTCCCCACTGCCAGAACATCGGAATCCCTACTGTTCTTGGTACCTGCTATGCACTGGCTTCAGCACAGATCCTTTCTAGGCATCTGCTATCTGTCTACCATTACCTTTATGACACTTGGCAACCCTTCCCCATATGCTGGGTGGTTTGTGAAATCATTTTACAACTCTCCTGAGTTATTTCCTAGAAGAGGAAAGGATAGGGCTGTGTTTACTGGTTAAAACTGAAATGTTTTCTTGTTTGGGTTTCTCTGTATAGCCCTGGCTGTCCTGAGATTTTCTCTGTAGATCAGGCTGGCCTTGAACTCAGAGATACGCTTGCTTCTGCCTCCAAAGAGCTGTGGGCCACCACTCCAAGCTAAAAACTAAAGTATTAAGGTTACTTTTTCCTTCTGTTGATTACGTTTGCATTTTCAACGATTTATTTATAAAGATGGCCTCTGGCTTACAGTGCCCCCATTGGTAGTTTTTTGAGTTTATGATGACACATATTTAGTAGCAGCCATATTTTGGATTTTGATAATATTTTTTTGGGGGGTGCTGGTGATATATGGTAAGATACTCTCTCCTAATGCTGGGCTGTATGTAGCAAGAAGCCTCTTGATCCCCAAAATAAATGGCTGCTACCCCAGCTGTGCTGCATTGCCAGAGCTACTCTGTTCAATGGTCTAATTGTGATAAATGGCATTTTTAACAATTTCACCACTGTAAGTGGAGAAATACTTGGATTTATATCTTTTAAGCCATTATAACACTGTGCTTCACTAACCTCACTTTTTCTTTTCTCTTTTAGTCAATTGAATATTCACACTGTTCTGTCATAAGTACTTATATTCTATTTTAGGTAAGTCTCCATAATTTGTTGATAGGTTATCTGAAAAAATAAAAAATAGTATTTATGTTATGTCAGGCAACCTATGGACGAGTGTTTTCAGTAGCCACACCATCCATGTAGTGTTTTGTATATATGGTATGTGCATATTTTGCATGTGTGTGGGCACACATGTGGCTGTATACCAGTGGGGGCCGGAAATCGACATTGGATGTCTTCCTTGGTTGTCCTTCATGTTTCTATGTTGAAGCAGGGCCCCTCACTGAATCCAGAGTTCACCAGCTATGGGGTAGTTTAGCAATCAGCTTGGCCTGGGGATTCAGCCTCCGTCTCCTGAGTGGATTACAGGTCCCTGCCATGCCTCTCTGGCTTTTATGTGGTTTCCGGGGATCTGAAACTGGGTTCTCAGGCTTACTGGACAAGCACTTTATCCGCTGAGCCACCAACATCTTAAAAACAGTGACTCTTCTAGGACAGGTCTAAGGTAATGGCTTCTCTCAGCTAGGATGATGATGTTGGCTCCCAACACCTAGAAGACTGAGGCAGGAGGATTGTCACACGTCTGAGGACAGCCTATAGGCTACAGAATAGGCCCCTCATCTCAGGAGACCACAAATAAACACATGAGCTAAAAATAACTGCAAACAGAAGGTGGAATACTGACTTACAGTTGGCTTCATGGCAGCAGGGTAAGTTTAAAACATGTCGCTTAGTATATCAATTTTAAAAAACAAAAAAGGTGCTCTATAACTTGCAATAAAAGGCACTATGAGTGCATTTGTGGGATACAGAAACTTACTTTAATAAAGCAGAACCGCACCAACTTCTCAAACTGTGGTTTAGACTCTGAGTCACAGAAGGCTGAGACAGGAATGGCTGACAGTTTCTGAAAAACAGGTACGGTGATGCAAGAGGAAAGCCACACACATTCCAAACGTCACTTCTGAGATCACAGACAGTAGAAATAGGTACCATGATGGTCATAATAGTTTTATTATTTTTTTCTTTTTTCAAGACAGGGTTTCTCTGTGTAGCCTTGGTTGTCCTGGACTCACTTTGTAGACCAGGCTAGCTGTGAACTCACAGAGATCGCCTGCTTCTGCCTCCCAGAGTGCTGGAATCACAGGCGTGCGACACCATGCCTGGCTGGTCATAATTTTTTTTTCTTTTTCTTTTAGTTTATTTTAAAAATTTTGTTCACTTTACATCCTGGTCGTAGCCCTCCTCCCTCATCTTCTTCTGGTCCTATCCTTCTTCTTTCCCCATCCCCTTTCCCTAGTCCTCAGAAAGGGGGAGCCCTTTTTCCCTACCAACTGACCCTAGCCTATCGACCATACTGTTCTAATTCTAGCTTTCATTCAGACAGTCCACTTAGGACAGTTTTTGAGGGTTAAAAATTTTTTTTCCTTTTAAAAATTATTATGACTCTGTTGATCTCTTGTGGAGCTGCTGTCCTCCCCAGGTCCTTCTCCCCTCCACCTCCCACTCTCCCATAAGACTCCCTGTGCTTTGCCCAAAATTTGGCTGAGTCTCAGCATCTGCTTCCATCCCCTGGTTAGTGGAGTCTGGACTCCACTCATCAGGACTGCCTGCGGCTTGGCAAGGCTGCCCCGCCAGGTGGAAATGATCAGGGAGCAGGCAACATGGTCCATGTCAGAGACAGCCCTTGCTCCCCATACTAGGAGACCTACTTGGAGACTGAGCTCCCTATTGGCTACATCAGAGCAGGTGGCCTAGGTCTTTTCATGCATGTTCCTTGGTTGGTGCATCAGTCTCCACAGGACCCCCTGGCCCCAGATTTGTTGACTCTGTTGGTCTTCTTGTGGAGCTCCTGGGAATTTAAACTTGTACAAACACTTTGAAAATCAATCTGGTGCTTTCTCAGAAAATTGAGAACAGCTCTACCTCAAGACCCAGATATACCACTCCTTGGGCATATACCTGAAAGATACTCTACCAAACAACAAGGACATTTGTTCAACTATGTTCATAGCAGCTTTATTTGTAATAGCCAGAAACTGGAAACAACCCAGATGTCCCTCAACTGAAGAATGAATAAAGAAACTGTGGTACATTTACCCAATGGAATACTCTTCAGCTATTAAAAACAAGTTAATCATGAAATCTGCAGGCAAATGGATAGATCTGGGAAAGATCTTCCTGAGTGAGATATCCCAGACCCAGAAAGACACACACAGTGTATTCTTACTTATAAGCAGATATTAGCCATACAATACAGGATAACCATACTACAATCCATAAACCAAATGAAGCTAAGTACCAGGAGGACCCTTGGGGGGATGCTTAATTCTCATTCAGAAGGGCAAATAGACATGGGAAGCAGTTGAAGAGAGGGAACAGGATGGGAGCCTATCATAGTTGTCCTCTGAAAGACTCCACTAACCAGGGGATGGAAGCAGATGCTGAGACTCAGCCAAATTTTGGGCAGAGCACAGGGAGTCTTATGGGAGAGTGGGAGGTGGAGGGGAGAAGGACCTGGGGAGGACAGCAGCTCCACAAGAGATCAACAGAGTCATAATAATTTTTAAAAGGAAAAAAAAAATTTAATCCTCAAAAAATGTCCTAAGTGGACTGTCTGAATGAAAGCTAGAATTAGAACAGTATGGTGGCTCACACCTTTAATCCTGGCACTTAGGAAGCATAGTCAGGCAGATCTCTAAGAGGCTGAAGTTAGCCTGGTCTACATAGCAAGTTTCAGGCATGCCAAGGCTGCATAGTGAGACCCTGTCTTAAAAAAACTAAGTTAAACTAAAGTTTAAAATAAAGAAAAAGGAGAAGAAACAAAGCTAGAACTAAGTGTCTTTCAAAGCACACCCACCAGTTGCTTGGCAAGCTAACTATAAAACAACACTGCAAAGCAGAGTAAACAGTACCTTATTTTTTGTCATCCACTTCACAAACTTATAATCATAAGGCTCATTGCTCTTCATGTCAGAGAGGTCGGCACCTACAACCATAGGGAAAGGTGGGTGGAGGGAGAGCTGTAGCTGAGACAACAAAGCCTTCACCTAAGCCTGTCAAGACTCAGATTTTCTCCTGACGCACACAGGCTTAAGCTAGGACTTTCTCGAGGTTATGCATGCGCCAGGATGGAGCTTCACACTGTATGATGAGACTGACTGACACCTCGGGGCAGCATTCACACGCACTGCTCATGTGTGTTCATGTGTTCCAGCACAGGAAGGCAAGGGGGTGGGAAGCGATGAGGAGTGCTGCTTTTCCATCAGAAAGGAAACTCCAGGATGGCTACTTGACTCTGTCAGTCTTTATCATCGGTGAAAATGTGACAGTATCAATATGTGGCTCTCTTGAGAGAGCTCCAGATACAAGAAATACTATACTATATATTCTCAAAAACTACTAAACAGTCAGCCATTGCTTTTCATTGTGAGGTGTAATGATAATTATAGTTTACCTTTATTCTTATATATATAATTTTTGAGATAGGATTTTACATTGTCTTCTAGGCTGGACTGGAACTCACTGTGTACACCCAGATTGGACTTGAACTCACAGCATTTTTCCTGCCTCAGCTTCTCGCGTGCCAGGATTTATCACTTTGCCTGGTTACCTTTATTTTCTTTTTAAATTTCTTATTTTGGTTGTGTGTATTCACATCGCCTGTGCATGGGTTTGTGCATGTGTGTGTGGTACCCAAGAAGTCAAGAGGAGGACATGTGATCCCCGGGGCTGGAGTCACAGGCTGCTGTGAGCTACCTGACTGGGGTTCTGGGGCCTGCACTCTGGTCCTCTGCAAGAGCTCTCTCTGTGCTCTTAAACCCTGCGCCATCTCTCCTCTCCAGCCCCCTGGCTACCTTTATTCTTATGCTACCATCAGATGAAATTTTAATTTTTTTTTTCTTTAGGAAAGGAGGCGAACTAAATTCTAACATAGGGAATGACTCACACACAGTAAATTAATTTTTCATGTGAGAACTTGGGAACTTACTATTTCCCCTACAGACGGAGTATCATAAAGAAGAGATGTCTTCCCTTCTCAGAAAATAACATCAGAAAAGGTTTTCCACCCAAATCCTTCTGGCTCCTGCTGAACCACACTAGATCCAGATTCGAGACCCAAGCGAGGACTGGGTGCAGGAGGGACTCACTCTTGCGACATAGAAAGAAAGGGTGCTTGCTTAGTGTCATAAGCCAAGCCCGCCAACGTCCTGGGATGGTTGACAGCACATTGTGACAATCCTCTAGAATTTACTGAAAACTGGATCCAGAGGAGAGGCTCAACTGTCAGTTTCACAGGTGTCCTCCACCTGTTTCCTCTTCATAAACAAATTTGGGTGGAGAAGGCTACCTGGCGGGAAGAAATTGGACTCTGGTCTAAGGAGATCCATAGGGCTTCTCAGACTAAACCTGGGGGAGGGAAGCTCTTCACAGGATGAAGGTATGTTCTGGGAAAGGCACAGCATGAATGCGTGCTTGCATGTGAGGGCCTCCTGGCAGCCTCATCAAGGTGGGGCCAGAGCTGGGTTCACTTCCTAGAGAGGGACTTCCAGCCTCTGCTACAAGAAAATCTAGCTTCTCAGTTCTCTGAAACCCATGAGAATGGGAAAAAAATTACTGATGTCTAATTATTATGCACAATGATTCTGACATAAATATAAAGCCAAGGGATTCCTCCCCGACTCTCAGGGCATCTCCTCACTATGCCCAAACTGACATGTAAAAAAGCTAACATACAATCATTCATTTTTCATATGAAATTGAATTTTCTTTTATTTCTTTTAGGTTTCTAAAATTTAGCCTAAATGAGAAACTTCAGTTTTTCACATTCCGTAGTTTATAATGTTATTACAATCTAACTATAGAAAACGGCATTAGAGCGATCATAATTTATCAATAAAGAATGCTCAAAGGCTCACTATTAACAATATTTTGAAATATTAAGGAAATATAAGTTTTATGTAAAACTGACAAAAACATGGTTAAAGGAATGGCGCATGGTGACACAATGCCTTGAGGAACTATGGCAGAGGCTCCGGGAGAAGAAGCAGAGCACCCTTTACCTCAAGTGCACTTTGTTCCCTGGATTGTTGCTGGATGTGATTTCATGCCTCCTGTGATGAACATTTACATTCAACATAGAAGACGTGCTTGTTCTTGTTTGATGTCAGAACACAAGCTACAGCACCCAATCTGGCGAAAGGATAAACTGAGTGCTGTCTTCAGTGTACCCTGAATCTGGATACGGCCTTCTGCCTTGCTTTCACGCTTTCCCAGATATAATCCATAGTACATGGCAGGCAACTGTGCTTAAATGGTCTGTCTTGAGTAAGTTCGGAAAAGGGCAGCTCTGTTAATATTTAGTGTGTGCTTACTGACGTTTATTTACATGTTTTATGGTCATGTTTTTTCTGAACTCAAACAACCTTCCTTGGAGCAATGCTTTCTTTGTTACATTCATATAAAAATGTATACTGAAAAAAGCTGAAGGTTGTCTACAGCATTCGGCTGTAGTCTGGCCCATGTTTTAAGGTTCTCAGATCCCAGGTCTTGAAGACAGATCTGCATAGGTTGGCAAAGGTAAACAAGTTTTATGTAAAACATTATTGGAACTTGTAGATTTGTTGGTGGCAAGTCAGGATTATATCAACAACTTCAGATAATACGGACCTGTTCATGGGTTGGTAAGATGGCTCAGTGAGTGGGTAAGGGAAAGTCTGATGACCTGAGTCCAACCCCCAGACCCCAGAGAGTAGAGGAGTGATTCATTCCCAAAAGTTGTCCTCCAACCTCCACATGTGAGCCTTGGCTTTTACTCCATACCCCAGTGTAAAAATAAATAAATAATCATGTTATTGTGTAGAGGAATGTTAATTCAGAACATGGCTGTTCTGGCTAGAGATCACAGATCTCTAGGTCTGTGTGATCTGGATGGAAAACAAACAAGCCTTTAATCTAGGATACAGAGGCAGGCAGATCGCTGAGTTCAAGGCTAGTTTGGTATAGAGCAAGTTTCAGGTAAAGAAAAGCTTAGGTCCAGGCATGGTGGTACATACCTTTAATCCCAAACAATGAAGGTAAAGATAGTTTTTAGAAGGAAGCCCATGTTTGAAATTGATTATCTAATTGAGTGGCAGAAAGGTGTCAAATTGAAGAAAGATTTGACAGACTAAGATACACCCAACTCTCCAGAGAAGAGAGAGGAAAGGGAAGCTACTTAAAGGGCAATGCAGAGAGAAGAGGAAGCAGTTTTTCTGGGAGAGTTTTATAGAGAGAGGCTGAAAGAGTACAAGCTAGACTCAGGTAAAGCCAGAGAATGAGAAGGAACCAGGAGATTAGAGCAAATTGCTGAAGTTAGTTTGAGGCCAAGCAGAGCAATTCAGGGGCCAAGAGAGAAGCCAGATTGAATAAGTCAGCTGGGAGAGAAGTTTGAGGCAGAACAGTTGAGTTGAACCAGCCAGCCCAGAGCTAAGGAAGAATAAGAAAGGGTGAGCTTATTCAACAGTAAGTCTCAGAGGCTGAAAACATTCTAGACCTCGGTTAGATGGTATGGAGGCTAGAAGCTTCTAGGACTAGGCAGCACGTCTCTGAGACAGCAATTGAAGCAGGCGAATAAAAGCTCCTATTATGCTTTTAGGAGACAGAATCATAAAGATGCCAGATGCATGACTCTGGGATGTTGTGTAGGGCTTCCTAAGCCTTCCTGTCTACAAAGACGCCAGCTTGCTTTCTTAAAGAGGGTATCTGAGTGCACAGCATATAGCAGACTCTCAGTAAACGGTAGTCACTCCTCTCGCTCACAGCGTTCACCTCAGCACCACTGAAAAATAGCAGGCATTTCCTTCTAGAGTGTCTTCACAACTTCTAAAGACTTTAGATTTTATTTTATTTTATTTTACCAGATAGCATTTAGAAAAGTTAAATAAAAAGAAAATAGAAAACTTTCAAGTGAACTATTTCTCAATGTATTGTTTCATGTTCGGAGTTTTCAGCTACACATTGGAGTACAGTAAGAACAGTTCTGTAACAGAATGCCTAGAACAACATTGACCTGATAACCATTTATCAGCAGTGAAAGTTCAGGTAAGTTCCCGAAAGAAAAACGAATTGTTAAAAGTGTTAGCGTAGAGGAATGTTAATTCAGAACATGGCTGTTCTGGCAAGAGATCACATCTAAAGACCTTCTAGGTCTGTGTGATCTGGCTGGAAGCTTCCAGGACTGGACCTACGTTAACAGAGGCAGTAAGCCTCCGAGACAATTACCTCAAGAGAATAAGTTACTTTTACATGTTGGCGTTGTAAAAACACATTCTCTTCTAGAGATAAAATACTGTCTGGCTTTGGTGCCCTTTTCTCCTGCCTCTCTGCCATCCTTTCAAACACAAGTGTCTACAGATGTGAAAGAGCAAAGGCTTCACAGACCTAGAGAAGACACATCGGCGATGATGAAGTAACCCCCATCAGGAACAATGGGTTTCAGGCCAACGCTGCTGAGTAAACGGGCCACCCGATCTCTTTTTACTTCTAATTCCTTTGGCAGAGAATTAAAGTAACACTCTGGGTCACCCATGCGCTTGATATCAATCCAAAAGGCCTGGGCCAAGGCTGCCTGCATGTTAAGAGAGAGAGAGAGGGGGAAAGCATGGTGATGTCAGTTATGACCTAATTTACTGGCAGAATAAAGGTCATCCAACTAAGATATGTGTCCAGAAGTCACTCAGGAAATTACAGCCAGATTCTTGTGAACTATCCGGCTCCATGGGTTAATGGAGGAAAGAGTTTTATGTAAATGTTTAAATCTAATATGACAGAGAAAGACATGAAAATCCCAACTGAAAAAGGTATTACATAAAGATGGTATACTTTGTAACAGAAAGACACAAGAGGGTTCCTACTCCAGCTTGCTAAATCTTAGTCTAAAGACTGGCAGAGAGGTGTAGAGGGAGTCAGTGTTTCCTGTTACCTGGGAGGGAATGTGAAGGAATTAAAGCTGGCCTGCTGTGTGGAAAGCAAACACAAGTTTCCCCGTTCCTCAGGAAGGTGAGACAAGTGAATGCGGACTAGAGAAACAAGTATCTGAGGCATGTGGGCAGCTCCTGTAGCAGCGCTAACTCAGAAGAGAACAGGTACCAAGGAAAACAAACTGTAGAGAGGAAAGTTGTTCAAGTTCATGGTTCCCCCTCCCCACTACATATGGTGAATTCTTGGCCTTTGAGGGGTGATTAGACAAGAAGACTAGAAGCCCCAGGAATGGTACAAGAACCATTTCCATCATGGGAAAGCACAGTGAAAAAGTGACACCTATGAGGTAGCAGGTCAGTGCTCTTATCCGCTGAGCCATCTTTCCAGCCCCTAAACTCCTTTTCTTTATAAGCTACCCACTCTCTAGTACTTTGTTCAGTAACCTTCACAGACAAAGTCAGTAATGATTAGGCATATGATTAAGAAACACTGTAGTCAGGATGATAAAACAAAACAAAACAAAAAACAACCTCACACTAAGAGTAGACATAAAGCACAAAAGATCTACCAGGCAGGAGCCTAGAGGCTTGGCAGGCAACGTGAGTGGGCTGACTTGTGGTGTATGGCTAAGAGCTGGGGGAAGAACAGTTAATAATGTAGGCATGGCCCTGGCTGTCATAAAACCTCCAATTAGTGCATATTGAAGGGCAGGTGTAGAGGTGAGGTAGAAGGGCGGGGAAAATATCTGTTATGTATGACAGAGCTATTATGTATGACAGAGCTATAGCAAAAGACAGAGCATGACAAGGCGGGGATAGTGGTGCTGAGATCACAGAGAAGTCTTTGTGACAGGAGAATGGATCAGTAAGACAGAATCAGTAATTCTTTAACACTTGTAAATCAGCGTTCAGTTTCCAAACAGAGCTGTCTGAGGGCATCCTCTGAAAGGCAAAATAAGATGCTTCAGGAAATGTTCTAGAACCTCAGCTGTGACCTTCTGCGTAGTTTGTTCACTCACTATACAAGTCACTGCACTGGGAAACCCAAAGCACAGAGACACGCATGTTTGTGTTGAGTATACTTGGACTCCTCTCTCTTTCCCAAGCCTGGTTAGGTTGCCCAGTCGGAAGTACCACGGACTCCATCTTCTACCTATATCCAAGGTGCCATCACTCCTCATCCTTTCTGCCATCCTCATGCTGATTCAGTCCTCTAATACTTCTCTCTTGGAGCTCTTCTCTTGCCTTCGCCCTCAACGAAGCATCACTAGACCCCTGTTGATAACATATGATCAAAAGTGCCATGGTTTTCCATGTCCCTCAGTCCTAATAGTGACATTCATGGCCCAGCATGATGTCGCTCCCAGCTACCACTCAGGCTGTAGGCTCTCTCACTCTTTATCCCTGCTGACCTTATCCCAGCCACTATGTTTATGATGTAGCCATGGCAACCATGCTGTCTATCTCTGGGCCTTTGCATTTCCTACCCTCTAGGTCCATGGGGCTCTTCTCTAGGTCAACCAGCACTCAGGTGTTGTCTTCTCTATGAGGCAAGCCCAATATGACATCATGCCCTCTCCAATCTGGGTCATTATGTCTCACTTCTTGTCTAACTTTTCTTTGCATCTATCAACATCTGACAAAATGCCATTTAAATTATTTATGTCTCTCGCCTGGGTGTTAAGCTCCCTGAGCGCAGCTGTCTTTGGTCTGTAAAAATAAGTAAATGGCTTTATTTTAAGGTGATAAGATGAACCTAAAATATAATAAAGCAAACTTTCAGAACTCGCCTTTACCATAAGGTTATTTAGGAGAAACACTAAAAATAATGGAAGTTTTTCCTATTGGGTAGACACCTTTGATGGGAAACAATCAATCAAGTTCAATGTAGTCAACACTTTTACTCTCTTGTGCTTTAACTTAGAAGTAGATTTTTTTTTTTTTTTTTTAGTTTGGTTTTTTTTTTTCAGTGTTTGGGGTTTTCAGAGAAGGAAGATATGTTTCTAGAAATGTATACAAACTACTACATTAAGGGCCAGATCTGGTGGTGCTTGCCTTCTGTCCCACAGCCTGGGAGGTTTAGGCAGGGCGTTGTGCTGGAGAAAAGGATTAACCTAGTAGAAAGAGTCTATTGCCTGCTGTCTACAGGACCTCTACGCTCTGTCACTTCCCTCTACTCACACAGGTAGCATTTTGTTAGTTTCTTGTGGATATCTAAGAGTTCTTTGTTCGAAACACAGGAGGCACCCCCCCACCTTTCTTACACAAAATACAGTACAAATGCCATATGTCTTGCTTTTTAAAAAAGTTTCATAATGTATTCTGGAAATCCCTCTGATCACGTACAGTGTTTGTTCTCTGCCTGCTTCCCAGCCCACATGGAGTTTTGCAATACTGTCTGGCCATGCTTTAAAGTCTCTGTGTGGCTCAGACTACCCTGGAACTCCACATCCTCCTGGTTGAAGCCTCAAGGGCTAACGTGAAAGGCATGCACCACCACACCCACTGATTCCCTTCTCTTTTAAATAGCTATTGCAGCACAAAGAATGACCACCAAAGTTTTCTGTGTCTCAAAATACGTTACCCTGTGTGGTAAGAGGATCTTTGTAGATGGGATATAAATTAATGGAGCTTGAAATTAGGGATCATCCAAAGACTCTGTGTCTGCTCCAAAATCTCCAAAGTGTATTAGAAGGGCTTTCACATGAAGAAGCTATCTAATTCCTATAGGCGTAAAGGCTAACACCTACCTGTAAAGGCGTTGCACAAGTGTAGAAACTGTTCTGTTGAACAGTCTGTAAATGTTTTATCAGGTGACTAGGGCCAATGCTCCAGCCAAGCTGGGAAGGGAAAACACAAAAACAGATTTCAAATAATCACCTAAGGATACATATCATAGCTAAGAGAATCGTTAGTGTAAATGACAAACATAGGCGATTCAAATATATCCCCAGGAGGAAAGCAGGGTAAAGCTTGTTTTTGTGAAGTTCCCAGCTCTGCCTTCAGCCCTCAGCCTGCCTTCTGAAGATAAACAAAACCTGTGATCATTGTGAGGCCCTCCCTGCTGCTGAAGCGCCATTTCTGATACTCATGAGGAACAAAAGCCAGCAATTACACCTGCTTGAAGCACAGCACAAGAGTCTCCACATGACAGCTCAGAGGACTCCTCCACAATGAAAGCACACGGGTTTTTAATTCTCCTGGCCTCCTGCTGCTCTCGGCGTCTCAGACCCGGCTAAGTATCAGTAAGGCCGAATGACAACTTAACTTCCACTGTGGATTATTTGTTGTTGTTTTGTGAGACAGTATCTCCTGTAGCCCAGGCTAGTCTTGAACTCACAAGATAGCCAAAGATGAGCCTGGGTTGCTATTTTCTTGCCTTCACTCCCAAGGGCCCAGGATTACAGTTTTGGCCACCACACTTGGATGAATGGCATAGTTCAGGTTGGTGCATGGAGTCTGAAGGTGGGCTACTTGCCTTGGCTTGAATTTATTGGAGTATAATCTCGGCCAAGACAGTAAAAATTCCTGTGATTTAGTTTTATAATCTATAAAACTGGCATGATAACCATACCCACATTACACAGTGCTTATAAGAGTGAAAAAATTAGCATTAAAAAAACAAACCTTAATGTTTGGGCCACAGCTAAATCCACAGTATTGCCTGGTATTATTTTTATCTTTTCATATGCCAATATTATTTTAATGAAAAAATATCATTAGTTTATCACTCACTGGATTAAAAATTACTTGATTTTTCTTTCTTTTAAGAAATTACTTGGTTTCAAAAAGGATGAAACGTGGGCCACTGATATGGTCCAGAAGGTAAAAACTTGCTTGCTGCCGAGCCTGAGGACCCAAGGTCAATCTTAGGAATCCACATGCTGGAAGGAGAGAACTGACTCCTGACCTCCTCACACAGGCCACGGCACACATCCCTCAGCCCCCAAACAAATACATGTAATTAAAGACAAAATGCTGAGCAAATCAATGAATACAGAAAAGATCACTAAGTATAAAAGCCATGTATATTGTGTGTGCATTTAAAATGCAAGCTATTCTACAGAAATGAAAGCATGGGCCTAATTTTAGGACTTTTTAAGGATTGAACCCAGGGCTATTATATACACAGTCTGTGCTCTACCACTGAGCCCCAGCCCCCTGCACTCCTTCTCTCACCTTCCAGCCGGTCACACTGAATGTCTTGCCAGCACTTCCTATCGTTATTGTTCTCTCCCACATGCCAGGAAAAGTGGCTTAAAAAGAAAAGAAAAATAAGTAAATAACTAACTGGCTATATATTTCTTTCCCAATTAGCTTTTTTAGTATAATCTAAAAACACAATGCAGATAACATGAACTCAATGAAAACAGATACATTACATGGTATCATTAGTGTAGTTATTTCAGTATTTTTTAAGGAATTCAAATTTAAGTTCACATTCAGCTAAAAATATTGTAGTGTATTGCAGTGTTGGACCAATATGCAGATAGGCACAATACTTTTTACTACAGTCATTTATCTTTCATATCTATCTGTCTGCCTGTCTATCTGTCTATCTATCTATCTATCTATCTATCTATCTATCTATCTATCTATCTATCTATCT